CCCACCCACCAACTCACCCCCCCCCCCCCCCCCCCCCCCCGCCCCGAAAACCCCCCGGGGCCCATCCCCCCCCCGGGGACACCATATGCGTTGGCCCCCACCTCCGCGGGGCTCTTCCCCCCCCCCCCCCCCCGGGGGGGGGGGGGGGGGGGGGGCCCCCCCGCGGCCCCCCAGCGGGTTTGGCCCACCCCCCCCCACACCCGCGGGGTGGGGGGGGGGGGGGGGGGGGGGGGGGGGGGGGGGGGGGGGGGGGGGAACGCAGCCCGCGGCGAAGCGCTTGGTGATCTTTGATCGTGGCTTTCCCCTTCCACCCAAGCCTCCAAGAGGAGAGGAGGGGGGAAGGCCCAAAAGTAAGGACCATTAACCAGGGCATACTCTTGTCGCCTTCTCAATCAGAGGAGGACTTCCGAGACTTCTTGGACTTGCGTTCAGAGGCAGCCTGGTCGGTGGTTTCCTCATGCTTGCGACTGACCTTCTCCTTGGACTTCTTCTTGTCGGTGGACTTGTTGGCGGCAGAGCGAATCTCACTGGCGGCATCGGCCATGGCCGCGGCCACCGGGTCGAAGTCATCGGAGTCCGGATCGTCGCTGCCCTCAGTCTGAATCAGGTCCTCGGTGGAGGTGGACACAGCCAGGCGAGCGGTCGCGCTGCGCGAGTGCGGAGCCAGCTCCGGCCCGGAGATGATGGCCGAGCTTCCACGCAGAGACCCAGTCATGGCCAAGATACCATTGACAGTGTCGAGACTGGATGAGGCCGAGCCAGGGAGGGAGGCGGGAGGAGGGAAGGGAAAAATGGGGGAGGGGGGGGGGGGGCAAAAGAGGTTGTACGTGGTCAGACGCCCGACAGCGGGGTGTGCACACAGCGGCACAGCGGCACAACGGCACAGCGAGGGGAGGATGCTTCAATGGCGTACCGCTGCACGGAGAAAGCCAGCCGGGTGCCGACGGCAATGGCCACTTCGCTGCCGGACTTGGAGGCCTTGCGATAAACGCCTTCCGAATAGTCGTAGGCAAACTCCGAGCCCAGGTTCTCCGTGGGAATGGAGGCATTGAACAGGCCGAGGACCAGCATACCGACCTGATCCGGACCGATCTTGATGACAGAGCCCACTGTCGGGGGGGGG